ACATCCAGACCACTGATGAACAGAACTAGGAGCAACTCACAGGGAAGTCCATTCTATTCTCAGTGCACTAAATTTGGAGGAGTTGATTGAGGATCTTTATTTTGGAGGTTTAGGCTCTCTCTACCTATAGCAAGAGGAGGGCACATTTTTCCATCATCTATGGAGAGTCTGGAACACTCTTTGGGGCCAGCCTCTACGTTCTCCTGACTGAGTCTCCTGGGTTAAGTTTCTTCTAGACCAACTGATGAGGTGATTTTCATTCATCTGTTTATATTTTTATCCACCCACCTTTTTTTGATTTTTGTTCTCCACACTAGGAAAACAGCCATGAGATGTCTATTAACCATCTGCTAATCTGATGGGAATGGTGGTGAAAAGAAAGATACTGGTGGAGTGTGACAGATGCGGAGGTTATAAGCTAGTATAGGATTCTGTGCAAGAGTTTTGGAGAGTCCTAGGTTAGCCCAAGGAGTCCAAGAGAAGAATCTAAGCTTCAGAGGTACTTTAAGGGGAACTAGAAGCTAGCCAGGGAGTTAGGACGGAAAGAGTGAATTTGACATATATAATACTATATAAGACAGGACTGTGACATACTGTCACACACTTAGGGAACTATAAGAAGTTTGGTTGGAACAGTGGTTCTCAGTCCAGGAGCACTTTGGAATGGTGGGGGAGCATTAACAAAAATACAGATGGTTGGGTTCTATTCCCAGAGATTTGGATGTCATTGGCCCAGCGAGGGGCCCAGGAGTCAAGATTATTTATAAATCACCACTGGGGCTGAGGGCCAGGAAGGTAAGAAAGGCTACTGGCAAGCATGACTTGGAAGGAGCCAGTGGAGGATCTCTGCTAGGAATCTGAACTTGCTTTGCAGAAGCAGGAAAATTGAGTGTGGAGCTCAGCAGAGAAATAAAGACCTCAAGCCCTCACTGGGGCCTTGTCTGCCCTCATAACTGTTCCTTTTGAGCTGTTGTTTCTTTCTTCCCATTTAAAAGTGAACGTCAACCAGGAAATAACAAAACATACAATAAAATAAAATAAACTGAAAGATTACTCAATAAAAGAAGTGATAAAATAGTAAAACAGACCAATGCAGTAAAACCCAAAAGAACTCAACCAGACAGAATCACCACTAAGGGCCATGCAATAAAAACAATAGCTAGAATGTACTGAGGCACTTGGTAGACTTCCTTGTGCATTTGAGAAATCTGAGTGTCACCACCACCCCAGGAGGCAGAGAGGGGGAAACAAGGTTTGCGGAGTTGGAGTACAGGGTCAAGTTTACATTGGGTGGGCAGAATAATGGCTCCACTTTAATGGTGAGGAAATGGAGGTTAATTCCTTAAGACTAAAGAGTCATTCAGGGCTAAAACAAGAAATGGAACTTTGGTTTTCTACCATGAAAGTCCTGAACACTTACCCCTGAATAAACACGTTGGAATTATCTGGGGAGCACTATTTTTCTTTTTTTTAGTTTTTTGTTCTCATAGTGTAGTGTAGCCTGGCCTTGAATTCACTATACGGTCTTGAACTTGCAGCAGTCCTCCTGGCTCAGGCTCCTGAGTGCTGGGATTACAGATGTGCACCATCACACCTGGCTCTGGGGAGCTTTTAAGAATTACTGACGCCTGTTAGAATTTTTTTCAAAGGAAATATACAAGTGGTCAACAGGTATCTGAAAAAATTGTTCAGTGTTACTGGTCATCAAGGGAGTGCAGAGCAAAACCACAATGAGACATCACCTTACACCTGTCAGAATGGCTTTTATTGAAAAAAAAAAAAGGCCACAAGTGTGGTGAGCATATGGAAAAATTAGAACCCTGTGTGCTGTTGGTATGAATGCAAAATGATACAGCTGCTTTTGGAAAACAACATGGAGATTCCCTATAAAAAAAAAAAGAATTACCATACAACTCAGCTATACCACTTGTGAGTATTTATTCAAAATAACCAAAACAATGATTTTGGAGAGTTAGCTACATGCCGTGTTCATTGCAGTATGGTTTACAATGGCCAAGGTATGGAAACAGCCCTGAATATCTGTCTGGAAAAGAGTGGATAAAGCAAACTTAAGATAGCTGTCCATCCAGCGGCAGGCCTGGTGGAGACTGTGCTAAGTGAAATAAGCCAGGCGTAGAAAGATAAATGATTGCACTTACAAGGTAACTAGAGAAGTCAAACTCCTATGGATCCTACAGTCTAAGAGTGGAATGGTGATTACAAGGGACCAAGGGATGGGGACACGGGGAATTACCAATTAAGAACATAAAGATTTAGTCAAGGAAGACAAATGAGCTTAGAGATCAGCTGCACAATGGTGTACTTATCATCAATAATCAGGTATAGTGCACTTAAAAATCTGTGAAGAGGGCAGATTTCTTGTTAAGTGTTCTTATCACACTTAAGAAAATCACCATTGAAACTTAACCACTCTATTTATTTTGAACTATATATTGGGATATATATATATATATATATATATATATATAGATGTATGTATATATAAACACACATATATGTTGCAACTTAAAAAAAAAGAAAATAAAAGATACTGATGTTCATTTCTTTTTATTGTTTTGTTTTTTTTGCAGTGCTGGGGATTGAACTCAGGACCTTGTGCTTTCGAGGCAGGGGCAGTGCCAGTGAGCTAAATCCCTGGCCCTGCTCATTTCTGACTTGATTGGCCTGGGCTGGGCCAGGCAGACAGGCTGCAACTAAACATATCTGTGGCTGTGCTCTGCTCTGCTTTTAGTAGCAATTGCTTCTATTTATTGATTTCCCATTCCTGAGGACTAAGCACTTTATAGATGCTTTATTGAGGTCTCTTAATATACTGTGAGGTAGAGAGTGTCATCCCACTTTGGGAATTAGGAAACAGAGAGGTTCAGCCGTTTTCTCTGGCCACCCAGCTGCTATTCACTGGAGTCTGCTCCTCGTGTAGGTGAGCCTGACCCTGAAACCCATGCTCTGGCTGCTGAGTTGCGTGGTTTCCAAGCAGGGGAGTACCTGTCGGGCACAGAGCTGGATACCACAAGTCCTTTCATTTCATTTTCCTATCCCTCAAGCTTTAGGGTCAGTGGCAGAAGTGGGACCCAGCCTGCTTATCCTGACTGAGCAGTCACCAACCAGATGGAGGAAGTGTGTGGCTTAGCACTAAGGAGCAGGAGCTTTCTGCCAGGCAAAGGAGTTCAGTGGTGAGATGGGCAGCTTGGAAGCAGTGAGCATCTGCCATCATGCCTGGGTCTGTTGGGGGGGCAGGATCACCTCAAAGTAAAGTACTGTGTGTGTGTGTGTGTGTGTGTGCGCGCGCGCGCAAACAGTAGGCAAGAAAGGTTGGGAGTACACACCCCTAATGTGCCCTTGAACCTTGAAATTAAGCTCAGATGGGCTGCTCAGAGCTCAGAGGGTGGGGCAGGCTCCAGCATTTGAGCTCATAGAGCTGGGGAGTTCTAGAAGGCTCTAGGTCAGTCTGGAGCTTGCCTCCCGCATTGTTCTCTTACCCCTGGGAGCCAGGATCCCAGCGATATTGTGGGGTACGTCCTGAGCTGAAGCAGAGATTTGGGGCATGGCTGCTGCTGTCATTGTCATCACCACCTCAGCTCTGGTGGGGAGGACCCCTGATCAGTGAGGTCCCTGTGCCCCCATCCTAGAGCTGTTGACCAGGTCCTGGCTTGGGCTGGCTTGAGAGGAACACAGTGAAAGCAGGTGTTGGTCAGAGAGGGGGGGATCCTGGCCTGGAGGGTTGGGGAGAGGATGGCTTCTGGCAGGTCTGTGATCTCTGAGTCCCCAGATCCAACTCCTCAAACCTCTGTACCTGCTGTGTAATGCTCAGGATGGACTCACCCTTAAGTCACTTTACTGTGCCAAAATCAAAACTACTCACTGTGTAGTGGGGAGCTTGGTTTTCTCATCTATAAATTAGGCTATTACGCCTATTGCCCTTGAATTGTTAAGAGAATTAGATAAGATCAAGTTAGAAAATATCCAGAAAAGGCCTGGCCCAGTGTCTAACAGATCTGAAGAGCTCAGCACCAGGGATTGTCTCCCTCCCTCCCACTCTACACACTTTAACGAGAAGGACTCCCCACTCTGTGGTTGAGACTCCAGTGTATTCTCATTTCAGACACATCCACTGAGCAGTCAAATTTTATCTGCAGCTCTGGTTGGCTCTCAGGATATGAGGATAAGTAGGATCAGGCCACTGTTCTTCAGAAGATTGTTGAGTGATGGAATAGACCGATGTCCACAGGGCAAAAGGAGGATAGAAGATTGGGGTGTTGTGGGAGAGGTGGAGGCACTGGCCCACTAGGAGAATCTCTCTGGAGAACTCATCCCTGTTGTGACCCTTGAAGTCTGAGTAAACAGTGTAGAGGCAAGGAAAGGGCCACTGTTGTAGACAGCAAGGTTGTTCTGAGCAGACAATGTGGCATCACTGGAATTGAAAGTATGAGTGAAGAGAGGCTGGCAGGGCTGGATCACCAAGGGCCTGGTGCCCGTGCTTATGAATAGTGACGGCAGGAGCTAGTGAGGAGTGACACATGGCTGGGCTTTGCACTTACAAAATTCACTCTGGTGGGTGTGTGTAGGAGTTCAGAGGAGGGGTCAAGGCTGGATATGAGGAACTTTCATAAAGAAGCCAGAATGGTGGTTTGAGCCTGAGAAAAAACTGCTCTTGGAGAGTCAACAGGACTTTGGGGTTGATTGGCCAGGAAACAGGTGAAGAATGTGTAATGGAGAAGGAGAAGCAAAGAAGAACAGCCCCATTTGTAGTTTGGACAAGTGGGTGGCCATAATGTAAACCAAGAAAGGGAAACACAAGGAAGAGCAGGTCTGGGGGAACATCAGTTCTGTTTTAGATGTCTTAGTTTGAGGTGACTGTGGGGATCCAAATGGAGGGGAATCAGTTGTCTCTGAGGTCACAGGGAAGGACAATGGAAGGTTGTCACTATGCAGGGTGGATTAACAGTGGGCTTGCCCAGAAAATCTCCTGAAGTGGAAGAGATGGAGGCCCAAGGTAGAAAGGCCAGGACAGCATCTCAGCATTTAAAGCCCGCATGGAAGCAGAATGCACAAAGGAGAATAAGAAATAGCCAGAGCAGGAGGAGGGATCCTGGGCAAGGGGAGCATCCTGGGAACCAAGAGAGGCAAGGGTTTCAACAAGATGAGTGGTCAGTAGTGTGAAATGCTGCAGAGGACCTCTGTACCATGAGATTTGCAGGAATCCACTGGCTGGGAAAGAGCAGCTTTAGGCGAATAGTGGCAGTGAGGAAGTCAATGTCACTGAAATTGGGAGGTGAGAAAGTAGTAATTTTTACCCTCAGAAGTTTGGATGAGAAGAGTGGGAAAGAGCTAGGTTAGCATAGATAAGGGTAATACAGGAAGGCGTGTAACAGCTGGAGCCTTAACCAAGCATGGTACCCACACAGGGAAAGGAGGAGCAGGAAGAGATGAGGTCCTGGTGAGGCTAGGGGAGGAGGGCTGGCTGTGATCTAGAGCCTGGAGGGAAGGTGGGGTGCATGAGACAGTGGATCAGTTGCAAGTGGGGTGGTGACTAAGGCAGGAAGAGAGAGAATTCCACATGTGATCCTCTTGCTTTTTTCAGTGCAGCGGGAGGTGAGGTGGTCATCGGGAAGCCAAGGGGGTGGGGCAGAATGGGGCTTGGTGTTCCAGGACAGTAATGAGGGTTCTGAACCCCCTTAGAGTTAGATGGGAAAACGCTGACCACACACCAGCATGAGTACCAGTGCTGCCTTTGGTTCATAATAGAAATAACAGCTAGTCTATTTTTAATGTGAAGAGCTAAGTTCTTTCCATGCCTTTTCTCATTTATTCCCTTAACACTCTTGTGAGGCAGGTGTTGTCAATGTCCTCACTTTATAGATGAAGAAAATGAGGCTTGGAGTGTATCCGAAGTCTGATATGTACTAAGGGACAGAGAAGGGCTTCAGACTCACTATAAAATCACACCATTAGCCACCTTGTCACCCTCAGTGACATTTGTAGGGGGCATTGGAGAGCAGGGGTATCCACTTTGAGATTGTGCAACTGTTTCTCATTTTGACTCTGAAGGAGGAGAGCAGATGTGGTAGGCAGAGGTTGTGAAAGAAGTGGAAAGATGTGTCAGAGGGGGTGGTCAGAGACACATTAGAACAGAAGGTTGCAAAGATGGGAAAACATCAGGTGATGAAAGATTCAGGGACAACAAGGCCATGGAATGGGTGATGGGACTGTGGAGGTGAAGGTCATGAGGCCTGGGTAGATGAAGGAGCCCTGAGGCTAAGGTCAGCAGGAGCTAATATCTTCAATGGTATTGGAGAGGATGGAGGGCAAAGCAACAGGATGGGGGAGCGTCTAAGAAGAAGGGGTTTTGCAAGATGATGGTTTAGAGGGGTGTTGGGGATGGAGACCTTCAGTACTTCCAGGGGTCTGTGTGGAGGAGGAAGAGTGTTTTCCACGTGAGAAAGCTCCAGGTTGGCAGTGTCCTGGAAGATCCTGTTTCACTTAAGGTCAGGAGATCAAGGTTCAGCACTAGGAAGGAGGTCCATTGACAGTTGGGCTTAGAGATTGATTTATACCAATGACATTGCTCAGCCCATCCCATCTGGAATGTCTGCTAAGGGCCACAACCCAGTGGGGCTTTGGATTCACATCAGCTTTGGTCTCAGTCTAAACTTTGACATTTCCTACTCATCAAACCTTGGGTCTCGGAACTAAATAACGCCTAGCGTGCAGTATGGAGCTCAAGTTGTGAGTTTCCTTCCCCATTTCCTTCCTCTTTCCCCAGGTGCTTGGGCATGGTGCAGTTGGGTAGGATTGGAAAGGTGGAGGGTGGGTCTCAGGGACCTTCTGCAGGGTCTTGGGAATATGGCTGGTATTTCATGGGGGATGCAAGGGAGCTGAGGTGCCCTGTTGGAGTCTTCTATCCATTCCCTCTCTCCTTTCCCAGAGGTGCACTCAGATAACTGTCCCTTCTTCTTCCAAGGAATAGCTGCCCATGAGCGGGCTTCACCTCTGCCACCCATATGGAAGCCAGAAGGAGCTGGACTCCCAGAAGTTGGCTGTGCCCACCTGTGATGATGTTGCTGGTCCTTACCTCTCTGCTCAGCTCCAGCGAGGCCAAGGTCTATAGTCGCTGTGAGCTGGCCAAAGTGCTCCGGGACTTCGGCCTGGATGGCTACCGGGGATATAGCCTGGCTGACTGTGAGAACCCTTTTCTCTTGCTGGCTACTGGCTTCTGGCTCCTCTCTCCCTCTACTCCCTCTCTCCCTCCTCCTTGTTCAAGGGGTGTGGTCTTCAAGGGAAGCTTTTTGAGATTTAAAAACCATATGACCACCCTGAGTTAAACACACAGTAGGCAGGCAATGGGGGTCAAATTGGAACCATCCCTTCATTTTCCCCTGCAAGCCAGGAGTCAAAGGGACAGCACAGCTTAGTCCAATAGACTTAATCATGGCCAAGAGGAGCAGATACCCTTACTGAAATGTAGAAAGCAAACTGACCAAATCAGTACTATCAAACTTTTCAAGCTGGTGGCAGTTTTGGGAAGCTGTGAAGCATAGTCACATCTGGACTCATTCTTTCAGTCCCCTTTGTATATCCCACCCATGTCTTCCTAGTCTTGCCTCTAAAGATACAGCTCTCATAAATTAACTTGACAAACACATTGGGCCCTACTGTGTGCTGAGCAATGAGAAAGTATGAAGATTACTAGCCTAAGAGTTGTGAGACCTGAGATCCAGTCTGGAGCCCTGCTCTGTTGTAGCTGTATGAGACCTTGGGGAAGTCACTTTAGCATCTGAACCTTGGCTGATGCATTTGTAAAGCAGGTGGGAAGGTATCTTCCCTGGTCACCTTGGTGTGTACGTGGGACCTGTGCTCTGAGCACTCTGGTCTGCAGTGGCCTGGCCATCTGATACCAGGCCTGTGTCTGCCCGTGCAGGGGTCTGCCTTGCTTACTTCACAAGTGGCTTCAACACGGGTGCTGTGGGCCACGAGGCAGATGGAAGCACCAACAATGGCATCTTCCAGATCAACAGCAGGAAGTGGTGCAAAAACCTCACCCCGGACTCCTCCAACCGGTGCCAGGTGTACTGCTCTGGTAGGATGGGCCTGTGTCTTGGGCTGGCTGGGGTTGGGCTTCTTATACCAGGGTGAGCTTCTTCCCAGTTCACTTTGTTCCCCCTGCCTTTATGTCTGAGAGCGGGTCCCCCAGGAGACAGATATGCAACCTGCAATGAGGGTGAGGGTGGGTACTCCATGAATCTGATATGGGGTCTCAGCTGGGAGATGGGCCTTAGAGCTATAGGATGGAGGGAGGAGAGGGATAGAAGAATCTCCGCGTTTCCAGAGATGGGGAGAGGAGAGGAGGAGGGAGGAGGAGGAGCAGGAGGAGGAGGAAGTGGAGGAAGAGAAGGAGGAGGAGGGGAGAGAGATAGAGGTAGAGATGGGGAGAGAGGGAAAGGCAGAGCGAGAGAGGGAGAGAGAGAGTCAGAGAGATGGACTGATTCTGGACATCCAGCTCTGCCCCTTGCTCCCTCACTGTGCTTCTGTCCCTCCCACCCTAGACTTGCTGAACCCTAATCTCAAGGTTACTGTTATCTGTGCCATGAAGATTGCCCAAGAGCCCCAGGGTCTGGGCAACTGGTAAGTAATTTGGGATGGAGCCCCCTCTCCAAAGAAGTGTGAACAGACCTGGAGGGTAGCAGCAGGAAGCTAGCCTTTAGCAAGCGCCCACTTTGCCCAAGGCACCATTCCGTGCCTTCATCCTTCACAGTCCCTCTCTGTGATGGGCATCACCACTGTTGAGGTACACACAGATGGCACAGGGTTTCAGGAAGGATGAGCAATTCACTGGCGGTCCCTCGGCTACACAGCTGAGCCTGGCTTCTCCAAGATTTGCCTGTCCTGTGATGTCTGCTTAAAGGTTGTCTAGACTAAGTTCTAAGAAGGCTCCTTTTTTTTTTAACCTATGGCATCTTTTATCTAAAAACTAAATTTTATATAAAGTCCAAGATGTATAACAGATCAAAGAAGAGGTTCTCTGCTTGAAGCAGAGGTGGGGCTTTGGAGCGTCCCCGTTTTCAGCCTTCTCTTTGCCTATCTCCTCCCCACAAGGTGGCCGTGAAGTTGCCCAGAGAGCGAGATGAGCATTGCACGAGGCACTGGAACCAATCTCTGAGTCAGGTGTCCCACAGCTGCCCAGCTTCTTTTGATGGGAGCTTCCTAGTTTCCGGCCTTCCTTACACTCACATTTCTGGATGCAAAAACAGCAGGGTGGGGGCAGTGCCTAGGGGCTGGAGGACCAGGACCATGGACAGGTGGGACAGATTGGGAAGTAAATTTGGGACAATAGAATATCAGTCCAAGAATGGAAGGAAGGAGGAGAAAGTAGAGGCAGGGTTGGGGGAGACCTGCTTGGATGCCTTTGTAGGAGTCTCAGGGCGAGGTGTGGAGTCTGGACAGGGACAGATGTAGAGGTGGTGAACACGAGAGGAGGTGGGCACGGCAGACCGTTGGGAGGATATAGGGACAGGTGAGATGCAGCCCAGGAGGGAGAGGAGGGAGGTGCCAGTGACTGAATCTAGAGAAGCTTTGGAGATGGGCCCTGAAATGGCCACACCTCTGAATATGTGTTGATGCGAGAACAGTAAAGGACCTAAGGAACAGGCTCTGCAGGACACAGTGTGTGTCCATAGCATCAGGAAAGATTCAGCCTTAAAGGAGAATGAAATTATGTCACTTGCAGGAAGATGGGTAGATCTGGAGATCTTGTTAATTGAAATAGGCCAGACTTGGAAAGCCAAGCACTACACGGTTTTCTTAATATGTGGAATCTAAAAAAAATAAGAAGATATGAAAGTAGAAGGGAGACCATTATTAGACAAAAGGAAGCAAATAAGAGAGAGGGAAAGGAAGATATAAGGGAGAGTAATGGGATGGATATGATCAAAGCATGTGCATCTATGAAAACACCACACTGAAACTCACTATTTTATACAATCAATATGCACTAATAAAATTGGGAGGGGAGAATGCAGGCTCAGCCACTGAACCAGGGGCTTGAGGCCTGGGGGTCACCACCCTGGGATAGAAGAAATTTGCCCTTATGGGTTAAAAAAAATAATTTTGTTTTCCACGCTGGGAGTAAATTCCTGGCATGAGAAGCCCAGAGAGGTGGCCGAGGCTAACATAGGAAATGGTCCCGGAAGATGGAAGGAGGGTTCTTCTTCATTCATGGCATACACTGGCACTGAGGACTCAGGGGTACCAGGCTCAGTGCTGGTGCCAGGCTCTGAGGAGCTGAGACTCGTCTCCGCCCTCAAGGATCTTACAGTCTGGTGGAAGGGACGAACAGGCCAGTTGACCTTTCTTGGCAGATGGATTTATAGAGGTCTTTTAGGGGCACTCTTGATCCCTGGGCTCTGTGACCTCAACATTACAGAGAACATTAGTAGAACTTGGGACTCCAGGTGACTTGGGATCCCAGGACCCATGGTCTTCCTTATCTTCAAAAGATATTAGCTGTGAGCTGGAACAGGTTAATGGTCCTGAAAGAGCCTATGAACGACAGTAAACCAACAATGGAAAGACCCAGACTGGCAGCCAAAGACTGTTGGTCTTTCCAACAATGGAAGAGACCCAGGGAGGGCTGGGTGTCGGCACGGTTGTGTCATTTACTACCTGTGGCCTCTGGGTAAATTTTTTGCATCTCAGCCTGAGTTTTTCACTTGGAAGACTAGAACATAATATCTGCCCAATCTACCTAGGAGGGCTGCTGGGGACAGAAAGGGGGGTGGTGATAAATGGGTGGTAGATGTCATGGTGCTATGTGTACTGTAAAGGGCTGTACAAATGTAACCTGGCATCACTGTCGCCGAAACACAAGGGTGTAGGAAAAGAGCCTCACACCTGAGCTCCAGGCTCTAGGTCTTTGTCAATGACTCCTGGGTGAACTGAGCAAATAAGGAAGCCAGATATTGAATTTTTAGGGCCATTCTCTTCCCTTACATTCTTTTTTTCTCTAGAGGCTTCCTTGCTTGTTCACTCAGTTTGCTTGTCCATCCCCCCTCCCCAGCCCCTCCCCTTGCCTGGTTTAGAGCCAGGGTCTCCTTCCTGCTTTTCTCTCAGCAGTGCCTGGGGCTGCAGCTGATGTGGGTCTCTTTGCCTGTTCTCTGTCCTCAGGGAAGCCTGGAGGCATCACTGCCAGGGCAAGGAGCTGAGCTACTGGGTGGATGGCTGTGACTTCTAGGACCCTCTCTGGATGCACAGTAGTCTGGGAAATGTGGCCCAGGCTTGGGAAGACAAACCAATTAATAAAATAAAGTTCAACACGAGCGTGGTTCTCACAGGCTGTGTGTCTGCAGGTGCTGAGTTGCAGTCAAAGCATCTTACTGTTTCCTCGCCTCATCTGGGGCTGGGTATCAGGTAGATTCCAAAAGCCTACCATGGAAAGCTTGCCTCCATTCCTGGTGACTTTGGGCAGGGGGTCAGTGCCTTCTCTGCCTACCTGCCATTTTGGTCTAGGGTTGCCAGATTTAGCAAAACAAACAAACAAACAATAAACAAGAATAACAAAAATAGGTTGCCCCATTTAAATTTAAGTTCTGAATACACAAATAATTTTAACTGTGTGTTCCCAGTATTGTATGGAGCATATTCACATTTAAAAATCACTCGTAGGTGGGCATGGTGGCATATGCTTATAATCGCAGCACTCTGGAAGGCTGAGGCAGGAGGACTGCAAGTTTGAGCTTTGCCAGGGCAACTTGGAGAGACCTTGTCTCAAAATAAAAAGTAAAATATCAGCTGGGGATGTAGCTCAGTGTGAAGGTCCTAGGTTCAGTTGTCTGTACTCCAAAAAAAAAAAAAAAAAATTACTCATGCATATTTTACTTGGTAACCTGGGTTGGGTCTGGTGCTGTGTACCTCTAGCTTGTGTAGAAAGGTTCTTAGGGCATTTATTTCTTTCACTCTGGTGGCAAATGTGCTCATGGTGCCTTGGCCCTCCCTCTGGGGCCGGCTAGGCTAACACACTGGTGCCACATGGGTTGGTAGGCAGTGACTGCAGATGACGGACCACAGAGGGTTCCATATCACCTAGCACCCTGCTCCATAGTGCCCTCTAGAGGTGGAGATTCAAGTGTCACTCACTGTAATGGTGTATCACTTCCCAGGTAACCCTAAGTGACCATACATTGCAGACCACTGCTAGGAGTCTGGGGGATGGGGTGGGGGTTGCTAGTGGCTTTCAGGCAGCAGAATGCATACATCTAGTATAGTTGGCTGCCTTTCTCGGTATCTGGGAAGCTTGGAAGAAGGCAGTGCTGTCCGCCACTGACAGGCAGCCCAGTGTCTCTGTTCACCTGGGATGCCTGTGTCTGAAGGAGGAAGGTGAGCAGAGTCTCCGGGTCAGTCACAGTGGGTGTGGGGGCAAAGGCAGTCACCATGGTGATGAGGTGATGTGTGAGAAGGCTGAGTCCCGAGTGTGGGTTTTTCTGGAAAGGCTTCGTAGAACCCTACTGTACATACTGAACTGTTGGTTGAGCCATGGCTGGTGAGTGCTGGGTGACTACCATGTCACCCATCACCCCTGTCACCACAAGTGATTTGTGATCTCTGCACCAGAGGGATGACCCAGCATCTAGCATTTGTGTCCTGGTCAAGGGGATGACAAAATGTGGAAGTCACTCATACATGTGAGCAGGGGTGGAAGACCTTGGTAAGAGAAGGGGCATCAATGACTAATGGATCATTAAACACAGGTAGAGAGTGACTGCTGTCTCTCTAATGTTAAAGCAAACACTTGCGGCTACTCTGTGCCATGTACTCTCTAACTTAGATCCTGGAGCAGTAACTATGATAGAGGTGTCTTTATTACGCCTGTTCTAGAGATGTGGAGGAGACACATCTCCACCTGGGTCAGTATGACTCCCCATGTGCCCTCTGCCACTGGACTTCTTCTTTTTTTTTTTTTTTGGTACCGGGGATCAAACTTGGGTCCTTGCTCTTGCGCAGCAGGTGGCGAAACCACTGAGCTAAATCCCCGGCCCTGCCACTGTACTTCTTAAGGGATTGCTGCTGTGGGTCACCCGGGCAGAGACCCAGGGCCCATCCATCTTTCAGTGATCGTACTTTCTACTTCATGTGCAGACATCTGGGCCTGTGGTGCCTGATGGCCCCACTGGGTCCCATTAAGCATGTCTGGGAAAGGAGCCCAGGAGGAGGAGAACTGGGGCTTGTAGGCCCAAAGGGAGAGCTGATAAAAGGAGGCCCTGGGCTGGCATGATGGTCTCAGACTCTGCAAGGCAGCGCTGGGCAGCGGTCAGGCTTGGTCAAGGGACCCTGGAGGCCTGGGCAGAGGGATTGAGCAGGAGCAGGCGGAGATGGAGAAGGAGTCTCCAGGGGAATGTGCCCTGGAGGCCAAGGGCAAGCCAGGGAGGCCTCACCTGCGGTGGAGGTGAAACACTGAACAGGCCCACCGGGAAGTGGAAGCCGACAGTGCTAGGCTCAGAGCCCCATTCCTGAGAGACGTATTGGTTCGGTTAGGGTGAGCAGGCTTATCCCGGTGTCTTCTTGTTTATCTATGGCTCTCTCACACTGCATTCAAATCACTACAGTCCTGGCTCTTTTACCTTCTCAATATCTCTGCAAACTGGCCCTCCTTCCTACGCCCACACAGTTGCTTTAAGTCAAGCTCTCATCACGTCCTCTCTAGGACAACTGCGGTGGCTTCCTATGAGTGTCCCTCCTTCTAACTTTGTCCCGTGCCATCACCCTTTTCTCTCTCAGAATGAGCTGTCTCTCTCTTTCTTTAGAATATGTGCTGTTGAAGCGAGCACTGTCTCTCGCTTTCTTATTTTTGCCTTCATCCTGACCCTGGTAGCTTTTCTCACCTTCAGGTTGAAGTTCAAGTTCTTTGGCTTGGTATACAAGGTCTGCCATGACCCAGGCTTAGCTGACCATTATAGATTTATCCCTCAACTGTGCAGAAACATTTGCTTAGCTGGGGTGTATCCTGGCAGGTAGGCCCTTGAGAGTAGCATGCTGCTCCATACCTTCCTCCATTTTCACCATTCTTCACTCATGAATTAACCCCAGCTCATAAACCCTGTCCTTTGGATGAGCAAGCTGTTTCTACCACAGGACCTTTGCACCTGCTCTTCTTGACTTTCTGGAATGTCACTTCCTCAGATCTTTGAGTGGCTATTTTCCTTTGGTCAGATTTTATCTCAATTTTACCTGTTCAGAATGACCCTGACCACCGTAGTGTGTACCAGTCTGAAATTAGTTCATGCATATCTGAATTTATGTATATCCTTTCTTTGGTCTCCATACATTAGATTGTTAGTACCATGAGATCACGAAATTTGTGCTTTCCTTCTCTCCCCAGCACCTAGAATAGTGGCTGGCATGTAGTACTCAATAAAGGCAGGTGTCTGTTGAGCATACAATTAATGTGTGAGTGAATGAATGGTAGGCACTCAGCTAATGTTTGTAGAACCAGTTAATGAATGGGTCCTGATGCTCTTAAGTATATAACAGTTCATTCAGTGGCATTGCTTAAGCACTACCTATGTGCCAGGCCATACCCTCCAGGTGGAAGACTGTCCCTCCTGAATCCTCCTGGGGAGATCCTCTGCCTCCCAGGGGGACCACCCTGGCTGCTCTCCAGTCACGCAAGTCACACTCACCTCATAGTTTGGGCAGAGCTAGAGCAGTGGGGTTTTCTCTCTGATCCTAGTGGCCCGACTTTGGGAAAGTCACTTCTCCCTCTGGAGCTCAGCATTCCACACGGAGAAAGGGTTGCCAATGAAGGTCACCTTGCACCTTCGTGTCAGCTGCGTGGTGTCTGTCAGTGATGCACAGCAGGGTGCCTGGCGCACACTGAGGACTGAAGAAGTGCTCCCTGTCTGCTTCCCCTGAACTCTAGGATGCCAAGCTCTACCCACCTAGCCTGGGGAGGGATGGGTGGATGCACGTGTTGCCTGCCCCAGTGACCAGGGCTTCCTTGGGAGACCTGAGCACTGTGTCCTCCTAACTGTTGGCTCAGAAGGAGGAAGAGGAGAGGGGAGGCTACAGGAAGAAGGAGAAGGAGGAGAAAGGGGATAGTTCCAGATAGAGTGGCAGAGATTTCTGTGGAAAGTGGAAAGAAGCAAGTGAGTTCTGTCACCTTTGTCAAGCTTCCCACTCTTGGACTGGTTTGGCTCCAGGAGACAAGTTTGAAATGGGCTTTTCTGTATCTTTTGCTCTGGGGATGGCTAGCTTGCCCAGGTGCTGTCTTTCTCTACCTGCACAGTTGGTGAAGGAGGGGGTGCTTTTGATGGCTGAGGGAGGCTTTGCTGATATTCTTCCTGGGTGGGGTCTCCTCGTGCTTCCTGTGGGATACGTGGCTTTAGCTGCATATGGCTGATTTTCCCCCCTCTGACCACTGGTCTGAGGCTCCCAGACTATGGAAGCCGGCCCAGTCAGATGGAGTCCAGCATTCTCTGGACTCCGTGGGTGGCATATGAGGCTCCACTTCTTACCCCTGTGCCAGACATTGCAAAGTGAATATCAGCCTCTACCTTGCTGAGCCAGAATGTGCCAGGAGCCCTTCCTGACATTTCAACAGCAGCTCCTCTTGATGAAGTTGGCACGTGGGAGGGAGCCTCTTTATCACCTGTGACCTACTATGGGTAACGTGTCACAGTGACACTTTCACAGTTTATCCGACTATCTTCACAGCGAACTGAGGAGGCATATGGTCATCTCCCCTTTTGGAAGAAAACTGATCTTCAGAGAAATTCTAGAGCAGTGGTGGTGAACCTGTGGCATGGAGAGCCCTCTCTGTCAGCACACGAGCCAAATCGCTCTAGCAGTGGAGCATCAGATAACAGTTGTTTTCTTCCAAACTAAAACCTCAGTATTCAGGTTTAATTGCAGTGATGAGACTTCACGATAAATAAGTGGGTTTTAAGTTGCAGTTTGGACACTTGGTTTCTAAAAAGTTTGCCATCACTGTTCTAGAGGTTGCCCAAGATGTCACAGTTGGAGTGGCTGGGATTTGGATGGGGCTGTCAGACTGCAAAGGCTGTGCTTTCTCTTCAGCACATCGCAGCCTCCATCGCTGGACCAGCACATGGATGCTCAGTGCTTCTGCCCAGCCAGTCTGTGCTTCATGAAGACAAGGGTGTATCTTCTTGGTAGACAACCCCCAAGTGCCTGGCCCAGTGCCCAGTACATAGAGGATATGCAGAAAATTCTCGTAGAGTGACAGCTCAGGGCACAGATCCCAGCCTTCTTCCCATTGTGTCTTGATGCCTCTTCCTCCTAAGACGGGTTGAGCTGGGTATGAGTTGGTGCCCAC